GCACATGTTTTGTCCTACGATTTAGTAAAATAATAATTCATACTAACAATTTCATTTTGAAATAAAATCAATAATCTAATGTTTATTTTGATGTGTTGTAAGCAAATTGTTGGTATATTAACATAAATAGGTCATCAGCTTCTGGGTGCAATGGAGTGACCGTATGTAGTTAACATTTTAGATATTTTATCTTTTCTTAATCTCATATGTCAATAAGTTAAAAAAAGTGAAATGACGTGTCTATAATTTACATTAAGAAACTCAATATTAAAATTTGTGCATTGATTACAAATTTACCCTGTATACGTTACAAATAATGTTACACAGGTACCAATTAAAAACTTCACAAGCAATCTTTACTATTTTTAAGTAAACTTCGCGTTATACGAAACAATAATAAATAAATAACGAACTAAAAAACATACATTTGTGCGGGTTAATAAGTACCAATTTGTGATATAAGACGTAAGAAATTCAATTAAGCTTCGATTTAAATTAAAAATAATTTAAATATAATATATGGACGTATGCGCTGGTCGTCGCGTACGAAATATATGCTGAATGAGCCCGGCAAGGTAACGATCGGTCGATCTGACCCTAGCTTATACAAAGAACTATTTAACCGAACGCTGCAAGCTCTCCCAAAAAACAACATTTACAATAATCTACTTTTAAAAATAAATTGTCTTAACAACATTAAATTTACCGTGAAAACTCGCCAGACCTCCCCTACTAAACATGCACGACACTCGCTCTTTTAAAATTTCCTTAATGAAACACTATTTTATTATTATGTTATATTATCCTTGTCCATCTTATTACAATAAATATAGTTACAATATAAATTAAAACATATACTGAGAACTACACATCCTTACAGTTTTACTATGTACAAGGCATCTCTTGTCACTCCACTTAAAACTTTTTTGTATGTGTATGTTTGCGTGCGCACGCGCATCGGCCCTCCGTTCCATAATAAACGTTCATACAAAAACCTATCTGGCACTAATATGTATATTCATTACAAAATGTATAAGTATTATGTATATACAATCACAACATAAATTTGATAAACAACCAAGAGACATATATAATTATATATCATTTAATTGATACATAGTTTATTGGTGTTACTGAGTTTTTCAATTTAGAACACTCGTTTATTGATGTCAGGATTACAATAAATTGTACTCTTGATACCGTATTAATTTTAAAAATATTTGCACTTTTGCATTATTTAGCATCAAATAATCGCCCTCTCATTTTGTTCTATTTATGCAAATGCACGTTTTTTTTTCTCTTAAATTTGGATTAGTCTGTAGATATTTTGCGATTTATTAATTTCTGTTAGCAAACATATTTAGCTCACCTAAAGACAGTTACTGTCACTCCATAGTGTTCATATTAATTTGAGATCTTTATAGGTAACGATCAACGTTCGAAAAATTGTAAGCTTACAAAAAATAAAATAATCCAATGCAACCAACATTCCTCCATCAAGAATAAGTCCTCGATAGTTTATGGAAATTTTTTTGATATGTATTCAAGTAAAAATTGTTTAACGTGTGTATCATTTGCTCAACCATTGCTTTGTTCTGCTTCTAATATAGTCTATAAAGGAACATTCTTATAAATTGTTCGGTGCATGATACTGTCACTAACAAATATTAACTCTGCATCACTCAGTGTTCCACGATTATATTTATAAGGAAAAACTAACCAAATCTCTCATACTGATTTCACACACGATTCAATCAAGAGAAAGTATATGTGAAAAATTCAGAGAAAAAATTATTGCAATGAACTACTAAGTATGATCCCATACATATTGAGATATTAATAATATACTCGATTGGCCCACATGCGTACATACAACTGTTACGTCGTATAGCTCCCTCTATACTAAGAAACGAACAATTCGTATATGTGTTCCCCATAGTAAAACTTTCAATGATACGGAAGATAAAACTACAAAGAAAAATACTTAGGATATGATTAGATTTACCATTTACATGGTCGGCCGCCAGTTGGCGCCGCTACGTAACCAAGCTCTATTTACAGTTTTCATACAATTTTTATACACATTTTGGTCAATACTTTTGGAAAATGTACAACCGTGATGTTGCCGGTTTTGATATTAGAAGTGAATGAAGCCTAACGAGGCTTTGAATTTATCACTTAAATCATGTTTGATTTTATTAAATTAGGCGTTGGAAACGTAAAGAGACATCTTAACGGCATATTCCTTAGGAAGAGTTAAAAACTCACACGATTATTGAAATCAGCTTCACACGTGTTTACATGTCGTATCATTCGTAAGCGATTTTCGTATTTGTGTATAAGCGTTTAGGACTATTTTTTATTCTCCAGAAGTTAGTCAAATACTAAAGTCGCAATCAAGTAACATCCCGATAATGTCCGTAAATTGTGTTTATAGTGTGTATTCAGTATATCACATATATACATACCGGATTAAAAAAAAAACCAAGCCCCTTAAATTATGAAAATAATCAAATTAATAATAGTTACTTAATAAAAATACACGATTCCTAAGAAATAATGTATCAAATTAATAGTTACTAAGGATTTCACTATTTAGATTTTTATGAGTAATTTCACCAATAGAAATACATTTTAGCAAGTGGCATAATGTATAATACCCAATAATATAGTAAATATTATTATACAAACTGTCAAATTTCTGTAAAACAATTTACGCCCCAGTATGCTCATAATCAAGATCAAAATGAATAACAGCTGTTATTATAACGTAATCAATAATTAAAGCATTGCATATAAAATAATGGCTCATTTACATTGATCAAGAGGACCCTCATGAGGATTTCGGGCGATCTCTGCTGCACCTTTTCATCGGTTAACAATCCGGTGAAAATGACCCATAGGAATCGTCCGTACTTCAACATGCGGTCTCATTTGTCCATCGTAAATGCGCCATTAAGCAAAGTAATTTATGACAAAATTAGACTAAGAATTATATGAAATATTTTCATAAGATTCGAATAAAAAATTCATACGCAAGCGATAAATCTCGACCTTAATTTGGTTATAAAGCGATTGTTAACAGAATGTTTAACAAGATTTTTTCATACATTTTTTTAAAATATTGTGATGGGCACAACAAAACTGCGTCAAGAATATAGTTTTTGAAGAAATATGAATTACTCAACAAAAATTATTCATAATAAAGTAAATAGGTTAAAAAAAATAAATTTTAATTCTTATCTTTTATCGTTATGATATACTTAATTTTTTATTTTATTTTAAATGTGTTTAAAAATTTCTATCTCAAAATTTAGTCAAATGATAAAAAGGAAGATTCTTAAAATAAAATAATGATATATCAAATATATACGCTTATGATTTTGATATTTAGTTGTATTAAAAGACACAAGTTAAATCAGTGATTCCCAACTAGTCTTCTAAAGATCGTATAAAAAGTTAAATAACATTTGTAAGTAATAAGTATGTAATATATTTATTCTTCCTTGTCTTTTGTAGTTTCATATGTATGTATGTAATAAATTATATCTGTAAATGAGTCGTTGATGCTAATATATGTATGTACATAATTTAATTCAATTAATATGTTAAAAGTTGTTTAAGTGACAAATGTTGTGAACCACTGAAATCAACGAAGAAAAATTTGTGCATTTTTATGTAATAAATAGCTTTTAGATCTCTGTAGATCGTGTATGTACAAAAGATGACTCAACTTGCGTAATCATATTTAGTCTGATGGAGTTAAAAAATTCTTATCTTGTATGCGAGTTGATTATTTTTCTTGAAATAAGTAAGATTGACATAAAGTAATTTTATTAACTATTTTGTAATTGAAATTTAATATCATAATTTTAATTTCATGGATAACAAAGGAACATTAAATTATCGTTACACTTTTAAATCAAGATTCTGATATTTTATATCTAGTAACATAAATAATGCACAAAATTGTTTCCGATTAACTGTATTATTAATAAGAATAATTATTCTAACTTTACAAATATATTTCGACATGTAACTGTAGCTTGAAACGTCACAGTAATAAATTAAAACAACACGTATTTTTTCATTTCGTTTAAAATATATAAAATAAATATAAACAATGTTTACATTTAAAAAGGTCAAGTAATCCATATTTCTCAAAGTTTCATTATTAAAACAGGCAATTTATATATACATGGTGCGCTTTAAATTACAAAAAAGCTGCTACTATATGAATGTTTATCCATAAGCGACACGCGATTCACTGTGTATAGCGTCCAAAATGTAATGAGTATAAAAAGTGAAAGTACTTTTGAAAATTTTGATTTTTCATTTAGTACGTTACTACGGGTTCGGGTTTCAGTAATAATTTTGTTATATCAGTACACTTGTATCTAAACCATGTTAAAGAAATTCGCTTTTTCATTTACTTATTAGTAAAATGCAAAACGTTTATATCAGTTTTCTCAAATATTATTTTATTTCGAAGTTCTTTTTGATACACGATAATTAGTTTTAACCGATTGTTACGTCATATTTAGATTTAGAGATCACTGAATAAAATGGTGATGTAAAAGACCTATTTAATGTTTTTTTGTTTAACATAAAATGGCACTGAATCACAATTTTAATTATTCAGAAAAAATATTGCATTACAATGTAACAAATGGTAAAAATTTTGGTTAAGGATATATAGACATACGTTAATTCAAAATTGAATTGTATGCACGCTTATAAAAACCAATTTACAGGCACAATATTCGTGCTATCAACATTTAAAAATAAACAATGATAAATGTAGAACTGGTAAAATTTGCTGCTACTAAAAAGCACAATTTTTTTGTCGATCAAACGAATATACCCTCTATGATCCAGATCATAGAATAAGAACCACAAGAACAGGCCGGGTAACATCCAATCGATGAAGATAAATAACAGTCACAATATTTCCGGTAACACAGAACAAAAGTATTGCACTTTATCGTGGTAGAATCAGAGCCGGGATTCGGTTAGCACGCCGCACTGTTTCACTGTCGTATACGTCCGTGCGTCCGCTGCAATATACGCCTTATTTCTTCGCTTTAGAATGTTTAAAGCGGGGGGGCGGTAGTCATTCGCGCGGCGCCGCCTTCAGCAGGGATATGGCGTGACGTACGTACTGTACCAAGTGACGGAACGTGGACGATAGTGACAACGGGCCACACTTACGGTCCACCGCGATGAATAGATCTGAAAAGATAAAACACTATTAATAAATCAGTATAACGAACCAGCTCCAAGTTAGGTTATAATTAAGGTGGCGTATAAATCAAATCGCGAACAAAAGAAATGAATGCAGAATATCAACAATAGATTTTGAACGATAATTTGTTGAATGTTAAGATCGTTTTGTATACAAAAATTCAATACTTTTGTAGTAGATTGAAATGTTCGCTATATTCATGAAGTGAATATTAATCAGAGTCTATATGTAAAGATAAAAAGTTAAAGAGAAAAAAAAACTTACCCCTATTGGCCCTGAGTCTGCATAGATTATCCGCCTTCTCCCACAAATCGTGGGCTACATACAGGAACGTGTAGTATTTAGTGAGCTGTAGTAGAGCATTGTGCGCGTGTGCTGGCACGGAGTGAGTGAGCGAGCAATAGCCCGAGGAGGCCGAGCCCGCGGAGCCGGCCGAGCCTGCCGAGCCGGCCGAACCTGCCGAGCCTGCCGAGCCAGCTGAGCCGACCGAGCCAACCGAGCCGAGCGAGCCCGGCGACGGAGACGGGGACATCGGCGATACGGACGACACCGAGGATACGGATTCGGCGCTTGCCGGCTATTGGACAATAAGGTTTAATTATATTAACTTGACTGCACGCATATACATGTACCTAATATTTTTCTTTTATCTGAGTGACTAAATAGAATATATATTATTATCAGTATAATGCATCAGATATCTATAATCTATACTTAATATTGTGAAGAGGAAATATTTGATTGCTTGTTTGCAACGGATAGGTTCCGAAACTATTGGGCCGATTTTATAAATTCTTTCAACTATGAGAAGCTATATAAAGGGATAAAGGCAAATAAAGGGATGAAAACCGGAGTGGAAGTTTGAATAGGGTATTAAAACGTTACTATAGTAACCATTGTTTAAAATATCAGTATCATATGTTCAATTATATCAGTGTCATGATATGAATCGACATCGAAATTATATAGTTTCTTTTGGACTACGCGGGCGAAGCCGCTAGCGGAAAGCTAAGTATCATTATAAAAACGACTAGTAAACTACTTCCAAATGAATGAAAACAAGTAAAAATATTTTCATCGATTATTATTGTTACTAAATTTTAGAATAGGATCTGAACTTCGTTACTCAAGATTTATTTATTGAACTTAAGACATCAGTTTGAACAATAATATAATTACCTTTTGTTGATATTCTTGAACAATTCTATTGTATTCCTTCACTTCACTGTTGTACATTCTGAACATTCGCAGATAAAGAAGTGCTTGTACACGTAAACTGAAACAATTATGTTACGTTACACTAATGTTTCTTAAAGTGTGCTCCGCGGAGTGGTATGCCTCTACAAAGCGTATATTGTGGGTTATAAAATATGTATGTCATTAATTGTTTAAAAAAATCAGACACAAAATATTATAATGCGTAAAACAATTATGAATAAACGTATTGAAATCTAAGAATATTATGTTAAAACAAGGGATTCTGTATACTATCTTTTTTTAAACGCAGGAGAAATGCAACCTTAAGGATTAAACCAAGGCCCGCCGGGTCGATCCCGTATACTATCTGACTCGTTGATATATTGTAACATAATGTACTCACCTAAGTATATCCAGCTTGCTGAACGTAGAGTGTGGCGATGCTCTGAACCTCTGCGGCATAGAGTGTATACTCTTGATGTACTCTATGGTCTCGCGGTATATTGTGAACGCGCCCTTAGTGTCCAGCTCTAGTTCGAGCACGCGGCCCGTGAGCACGAAGCATAATACTGACTCGAGGTACAGCATCACGCGAGCTAGTGGTTCCTGCTCGCGTTCAGCAGCCGTTCGGAGACGGGTAGCTTCCTCAAGGTAGTACCTGTGTACCAAAGGATACGAGCATTAAAAAACCGGCCAGGAGCGAATCGAAATGTAAAATTTAAAAATCATAGACTTGTTATGAGTTCTTGTAGAATTTATATAATAGGGAACATAATGCGTCTGATTCAAGAATGGGTTAAATATATTTTGTTATTATTACATTTGAATAGTATATGCAAATATTTCTTTAACATGTTTTTTCAAAAGTTATTACTAAATTATAAAAAAAATATATAAGAGGTTTCTTTTCTTTTCTTCTTAGATATATCGAAAATTTTGAGGCACATTTTTTTAAAAAGTATATTTAATATTCATATTTCAAATAACTTAAACTTTTTCTATCATAAAATATTAATTCATGTCAAAAATTCGCATTCCTTTTTTTTAATACGATTTTTTTAAATACACACAAAGAGTATTAAAAATATATTTATGAGATTAAGATACTGACTTGTGATCTCGCTCTTCGTCTGAGACGGCATCAGCCGGCTGCCTCTCGAAGTAACTGTAGTAGACGGGTGTCTGGCCCGCGCATAAAGCGGACCGCTCGTGATTGGTCGCTGCCAATGGCCCGGTCTGTCAAACAAAATAGAACTTTATAATATTATTCGTTAAAAAACAAAATCTAGTGACCGTGTTTGACGTGTCAGTAAGAAAGCTATAAACATGAAAATTCAACTCATCTACGTCCGGTAAATTAGTTTCGGGTCTTAAAATCAATACACATGACCTAGAAATATATTACACTTTATATTACATTTCCGAGGAAACAATTGCATAGCACTAATTCGGCATCAGTCACAGTGAGTTAATAAACAGTTCCAATTTCTATTGGTAATTAATTTCATTATTAAAATTTCGCATTTACACGAATAAAAAAAGACTGGGAATAATAATAATAATATTATTTATCTGGAAAATAGGGAAAATAATAGAATATTGTATGAGCGAGCGTAAATAAAGAACTTTACATTTATACATAAACTAAAACGTAAGTAGTTATAGATTAGGAGATATTGGTAGAAAGTAGACGTAGTTGTTGGTAAAAAGTAGTAGTATCTTACCTGATCATGTGGTGGAGTGGCAGGTCGTTTAGGTACCCGCCTGGGTCGCTGTAACGCTCGCACTGTGTCCGCCCGCAGACGCGATAGCGGTACGCGAACTAATAATCGCGCCCGACATTGTGCTATACGAACAAATACATACAATAATTAATTAATTATATTGCAAATAGATTAACTTAAGGTTAAAAGAGTCTATTTAATTAAAATATAAAAAATATTTTTCGAATTTAAGTACTATTTTTAGATAAACAGGCGCTTCGCTTGTTTGTAGTATTCGCTCAGCAAAACTATCGAAGTCACTGTATTTGTAATAAGGAAGTGAAAAAATCAGTACACGCAAATAACTATCACAATACTCACGGTGCGAAGTAGGGTCTTCTATTCTTTCGGATCCCCTGTCTGTCTTCAGCCCGGAGCCGACGTCCGCTTCGGCTCGGATATATCGCTCCGGAACTCGTTCCACTCGCTCCAGCCGATCCATTTTGTCCCCGCTGCTAAGGCAGTCCAATCGACCCATCCTCTCCATCTTGGCCGCAGATTTATCGTCCGACTTGTCCACCAATCTGTCCGCAGGTTTCTCGAATCTATCGATCTTGTCGACATCCATCTTCTCGTCGGACAGTCTCGACATTTTATCGATCTTTTCGCCCGAATGCCGTTCGTGGGGGGATCGTTTGAGTGAAATTTTGTCGACAGATAACCTTTCGTTCGTGGCTCTGTCGTAAGATTTATCACTCGACGATCTATCGCTGGACATTTTACCCGCGGATTTATCGCGGTCTGAGGGCCGCATTCTGTCAGGTATCCTTTCGTGAATCCGCTCGGGAACTCTCTCCGGCATCCTCTCCGGTATCCGTTCGGGTATACGCTCCGGTATACGTTCTGGTATCCGCTCGGGGACTCTGTCCGGTATCCGCTCGGATATCCGTTCTGTTATTCGGTCGGTAGAGGTGCGTTCGACGGCTCGGTCCGGTAGCCTATCAGCGGATCGCCTATGGTCCGCCCTCTCTATGGAGATGCGTTCCTGAATCCTCTCGCTCGCCACCCTGTCCGCTTCCCTTCTCCTGGTTAAGGCCTCCGGCTCCTGAGGGGGCGATACTCTAGCGATGGCCTCCTCATTCCTCCTGTCTTCCCGGCTCCTCCTTTGATCATCATCAGCGCCGGATTCGGGGGCGGTCACTTCTATGATGGTCACCTGACCTTTACCTTTGCCCCCTTTTCCTTTACCCCCTTTCCCACCTTTACCACCGCATTCGTCTCCCTTTTTTGGTGTGAAGACCTAAACAGAAAAGTTTCATATTAATCGTTTACTCCCAATTTTTTCATTTAGTTACATTCGACATTTTTTTAATGATTAATATTTGAAGGATGCAAGTAGGGTAAAATTAAGTAGAAGGTTGTTTTGACTGAATTTACTTATTACATTTTATACATACTCAAATGAATGTCACATAAAAACAATAAAAAAAGATCACGTAATAGCTTATAAGTTCATATAATCTTGAATAATGAGACACCAACCTTGCGGAATATATGAGTCTTGGTGTCCTGCAGCGTAGGCTTGGGCTCAGGCTCGGTATCGCTGTCTGCGGGGGCGGGGGCCGGTGCCGGGGGCGCCGGTGGCGGGGAGGGAGGGCGATGCTTTGGGGGGCGTCCGCGTTTCTTCTTCGCCGGCCTCTCTTCCGAGGCACGAGCTTTAGGCGGACGCCCGCGCTTCTGTGGCGCCGCATTAGAAACAGACGGAGATGCCGACGTCTGCATAAAAAGAAACAACGTTATTTAAAACTGCTAGCAGGTCAATCCAAACCGACGGAAGCAAACTAAACGGAAGATTGGTAAAGTCGCGCGTACTGGTTTCATGACACAATTCTAAAATTCTTTTCTTTTTCGCCTCTTTTGATTCTTCCAATGAGGATTGATGTGCGTTAAGCATATTGGCTAGCTTTTGTAAATTTTTATTTCTGTATTTAGACACGTAAAATAATTAAATGTTTTGGATGTGTTCGTTAAGTGCCTGTAATAAACTACAAAACTTTTATTATCTGTAGAGTTGGAACTTTACTTACATTGTAAACCCCAGCTGGTACTTATGACATCAAAATTACATTGATTCTTACTATCTCATGATTATCCTACTGGTCGAGCGATATGCATAACACATTAATATTAATAACAGCAGAATAGTAGTATAATATTTTTTAATTAATATCTTTAGAATATTAATATATTTACCGTGGAGTGATGTCTCGGTGGTTCGTCATCACTAGACGCTGTGGATGCGCGATTGGTGATAGGCCGTCGGCGTGGCGGGTCCGGCGACGGCGACGACGCCTCCGAGTCCGACATCTCCGATACTGGACTCTATACGGTACAAAACAAAGTGAATTATTAAATAACACTGTTTGTTACTTTCAATTAATTTATTTATAGCTTAAAAGTAAAAGCAAAATGATTGGTCAAATGTCAGAGAGACGTTCTCACAATAAGTATAAAAGTTCGATTAATATTTGTTACAAATTACAAGACAATTTTTAATGATTTATAAAATCTACTAAGCAAGTAATACTACTTTACTTTTTAACGCTTCATACACGGAGGTGGACTAAATGCCCCAACAATTATAAACCAGTGAAACTTGGGGTGATGATGGTTTTAAACAGGGTAGACATATTTAGGGACATGAAAGTGGAATATTTACGGATAAGATCGGGGAACATATTGAAAGGAGTCACAACATCTCTCTATATTAAGTGAAATAACATTTCAAAACGTAGTTTCCCAGTATTACGTCATGTTAAACTGTAAATCGACCACGCCAAATACAGACGACTACGGATCGTGATAAGCGACGAGCTGATCTGTGTCCCGTCTGTTTGTGATAGGAACGTAACATTTCAAATTTCTGTTTTCCTTCGTAGATAGGTATCTCACTGCTCAAGTATTACCTAATGATGTTAACGTACGAAAATATTAGATTTACGTTCAATGTAATATTTTCCGAAAACATAATGTTTATTGATATTGAAATACTTTTTTTAATAACTGTATTCAATCCACTGGCTTTTTATTACTAATTGATAATATCAAAAAGAATAATATTACTGATGCAAATCGCGAATAATAGAAAAGTGAGAAAAAAAAACCGAATATTTTCCCATTTCTTTTAGTAATGATATCCTTTTTTATAGATATAATTATTACATACGACAATGACTACAAAGTCGAGGGAACAATGCAGCACTTTTACGATTAGCCAATAATTCAATTAAAAACCGTTTTGCGCAATTCGCGCGTACTCTGTCTCTATTATTTCAGGGACGCTGCTTTGGCTTTTACAACTCTTAAATATGTGCACTCATTACTCCAATGATGTCATTCCGATCTTTATATTGAACGTCGATGACGTCACAAATACTAAGAAACTGTCGGTAAAAACTTCTCACAACGGTTCCGTTCTCTTCGAAGTTCAAGTTTTGATCCGAGATAACCCAGCGCCGTGGTCGTCGTAATTTATTTTTATAGTCTCTCTGTGTCGCTAGCAAATTGTACTTCATTCTGCGTTTACTAGGAAAATCTTCGCTGTGTGTGTAACATTATTACCTTTCTGAATTAGCTCCATAAACAATTTTAACCGCAAGTGCGTTTCTCGAAATTTACAAGAACTGCTTAAGCAGATTTATCGTGTACAAATCAGACTAAAAAAAAAAAAATAAGCGACTCATTTCTGTCTTATTATTTCCAAAATATAGTTATAAGCTTCTTTTGAACATGTTTTTGGCAGCTTCAATAATAATGTTTCAAAAATTAATAATTATTTGAAACACACTAATGGTGAGACTTATTTCAAATATGACGTCATAAATATGGCTGAGCGCGTTTACGTAAGTATAAAAGAGATTAATTTAATTTCAAGGCAAAAAACCTTGTTTATTGTGGGGATTTTTTTGGCTTATTTGATTAAAGTAAACATTTACAAGTTCTTTTTCAAAGAGAGTAGAATACACAATTGTAAAAAGATATCTTCCTTATTAATTACTACGCCTAATGAGAAGAGTTAATTTGGTAAATTGTAGATAAAGGAACGTCCACGTTGTCTGGAAAGATCGTTTATTTAAATCTTATTTAGGGTTTTGTGTAATCATTTTGTTATACTACATGAATCAGCCGTAAGACGCCCACTGCTGAGCATAGTCCTCCCCCATAGATCTCCACGATGATTAGTCATGCGCTGCCCGCATCCAGCGACTTCCCGTAACCCTTATAAGTTCGTCGGTCCACCAGGTGGGATGCCTATCCACTGAACGTCGTCCCGTCGCCATTCGAGAACTCTTCCACCCCAACTGTCATTAGTTCTTCTCGCTATGTGTCCCGCTAATACGGATCTCCTCATTCTTTATTCGATCACGTAGAGAAATACCAAGCATTGTTCTCTCCATTGCCCATTGACGTTTCGCTTCCATAAGTCATCACTAGCATAACGATCGAAAACTTTGGCCACGAGACACTGGTAACTTGGACGCGAAGATTTTTCGTAGCTTTCCGAACGCCGCCTTAATGTAAAACATTATTTGACTCATCGGAACTGTCCACAACCATCCACTCTTATTCTACAACTATAGGATCAATCCAATAGGGGCGCATCTCATGTTGCACAGCAACAACTCCAAGTTGATCAATTTTCTTCTTATCTCCTGTTTCTAGTGATACATTATACATTGTAGTAAATTAACGAGTGTTTCTAATGGTGTTGCCATCGTGTAAAATTGAGTTTATAACAGTCAGTTTACGGGTAGCACTTTAAGCCTTTTAACTTCCAGACAACTTTGTAAATGTTAATAACAATTTACAGTTGAAACATGCTCGGCTTATTTATCGAAGTTAAGATCGAAATATGAAATATGGTATTTTGTAATCGTTCTGATTACAATGACTTTTTGTCGCAAAACTTATCCCTAGGTTAAAATTGAATTTTAAAGGCAAATAATATGATTCTTTCCTGATATTTCAACCACAAAATTTGTCACTATGTTATTTTCTTCAAACAGAGATCGAATTCATATGAAGTGTAGCCGCGCACTAATCACTGCTCGGTAACGCCACGTCACCATTTGCTTGCTCAGTTCCCTTGTAAGGAACAAGTGTTTATCTTTCGGAATACTAAACTGGGAATGGGATACGATTGCATTGTGTGATTCACGGTTTTACTGAATTGCACTTTTATATTTGAGTCTAATAATCGTAACAAAATATTATAGAGTTCTCATTCAATAGAGAAAACATTGTATGAATATACAATATCATATAAAAATTGGTTGTTCTAAAGCAACAAAATTCACACTCCGCTACAACAAGATGTATCTTTAGCTCTCTTTCGATGGTGCCAATTCTATTTTACTACTTTCTAAATTAAAGTAAAATAGATAACTTTAATTTAATATCTAAGCTTATTTTAATGCTAATCCGTATTCATATGATTACTTCACTGTACAACAACTATACATAACATATAAAGATGTTCTTGTGATTTTAACAATTGAAAATGCAGTTTACAGACCTAAAGGGTTTAGCCGGATACGTATGACGAGTCGGCCCCCAAATGGGAATCGATATTGAAACTTATGTTTTAATATAGACTTGATGTTCAAACACGATTTATGTACTTTTCGCGACCGACTTCCGCTTTGACCTTGAGATAGAGAGCAAAATATCCGTATGCTTGACTATTACTGAATGTGATATATCTCTGAAGCTAATTAAGATAAAGAAGTGAAACTAACGCGAGGTATTAGGTTACATTACAGAGTATATCACATATATTTTTTTATAATTTTTAGAATAAAAAATTACATAAAAAAAATAAAAATAAAAAAATACATGTTTTTTTTTCTGAGTTCTCTGTGACTTACAATCACGAAATTAATATATGTTATGCTCCTTTGTGTGCTCTATCACCCATAAAAATTGCGTGAAAAAAAAGTTGGTGCAACACAATGAAAAAAAATTATATGTGATTCGCGCCTTGTAGTGTGAGTGTATAAACAAACAAGTTCGAACTTGTTATCGAGCTGTTTACTGCATCGTTTGTTTAGCTAAAGTAGCAGTCATTTGTATTACACAAGAAGGCAGTTTGGGACTCAAATTCTGTCATAGGTATTTTGTATCAGCATTTTGAAATTATTAACTATCGAACCAAATCATTATTAAGTAATAATGTCGAAAAAGTGTAAAAATTGTAACAAGTACCTGTGTAAGATTCCTGGTTATAAAAAAATTATAAAGAATGAAGAAGAAGTTAAAGTGTTTAGTGACTGTTTGAATAAAATCGTAATAGTAAATGATATTTTTTGTGAGAAGTGTCGACTTATCCCATATATTAACAAAAAAGCTTCTACTTCTAAATGTGCAGCATTTAACTTAGCCGAAATAATGGACGATCAAAATAATCTCTCAGTACAATATGTGAAATCAGCACCTAATATCATCAAAGCAGAAGTGAAATCAAGACATATAAATAGAAAAATCTATCGAATTTACATTCACTATATTTCCGAAAGTAATGACTACAATAGTATTCTTCGTTATTGCTGTGCTTGCCCCAATGGAAAATGGCTGTTCTCATGTAGCAGCTATTATTTATTATTTATCATATGGACGATATTTGTCCAAAATCGTACGTCTTGCTGAGGTCCTAACTAAGTTATTTGCGACTCATAGTGTTCCGATTGTAATTAATTACAACAGTGACGATGATTAATATTTTGTTTCTTGTATTTTGATAGACACGAAAAAGGAATAATAATAAGTATT